AAAGACAACTCTCAGTTTATACTTTTAGTTAATCAGATAATCATCTTGTACCGTTAAAATACCTAAGTACAAAGCACAATAAGTTTAAATGGGATAATATCAATTAAAAAAAAAAATTTTTGGACTCGGAATGTGCAGACTAAAATTTTGCACAGTGGGCCTCATACATCTGTGGAATAGACTTAGACTCAAGTTATGATTTTATGTAATACAATACTAGCTCAAGTGCCCGTGAAATTATCTTTTTAAATCTAATAAAAAAATAGATTTTTGCATAACAAAATTTCGATTTTTTAGCCTATGATACCCCAGAGTACCCCCATGGGTTCCCTAAAAAAAATTGATGTTGTTACACAGTAAAAAGGTTTCTAGTAAGTTATCAAATAACTTAATAATTATAATGGGTTTACTTCCTTGTTTCATAGTAATTATTCTTTTATGCAAAACTTGAGTCTAAAAGTCGTCTTCCTATTCTAGAGTTTTGTGGTTCTCACTGTAACAAAGTTGAAGATACGAAAATAAAAGACCGCATTTTAGAAATTCCAGGATTTGTGAATTTTTGTTCATAGTCAATAACTTTTTGGTAAGTTCTAAAATTGTTTCAGAAATTCCATTTTTGCAACAGTTGTCGGCGTTTATATCAATACAATGAAGACGACTTTTCTATTTAAGTTTTGATTTCTGACAAGCTTTATTCCAATTACAAGTTTGCATGTACAGAAAAAGAAGCTGTTAATTAACAGCTGCTCTTTTTTCCATGTTTATGTGTATCGTGCTGTTTAGAAGCTTGACAGAAATGAAAAATTAAATTCGAAGAAGTCTTCATTGTATTGATATATACGACAACGCCTGTATAAAAAAGCGTCCCAAGCTTTTGAACAGTTTTTTTCTAAATTAAATCAATATTTTGAAATTCTCTGTCTTGTCTCAAATATCCCAATTTGGACTCACGATACAATTTGATGAACTGGATTTCATGACTAAGGTTTACAATTTTTTCCGGATCGATTTGGACCCGAGGTCTTTTTTTCCCATGCTTATAAGAATATAAACCATATAAAACTTTAACTTTTCAAAATGTCCCAAGCCTTGGGTATTATCTATGAGGTAGATTTATTTTAAACTCAGGCAAGAACGGTTCCGCCGGCCCACCATAGTTTCAGTAGAAGTAAATCATTTACTGATAGCGCCGATTGAAGGATTCATATCTCTAATTGGATAATGAGATAGATAGAAAGATAGATGTTACCGCCATACTATTTGTATTGGTTCAGAATAGACAAACAACACATGACTGAACCCTGATTGGCTCAGGCGCTAATGGACTCGGCATACAAGAGTGCCGTTAATTTCTTAAAGTTGTTCAAGGTTTATCATACATAAATAGGCTTCAGGTAAGGTTCCGTAAGGCCTTTACGGGTCCAAATTGATCTAAAAAAAATTCGGAAACCCTGTGACCCACGCTGTATGATTGTATGACAATGAACGGCAAATATTAGACAAGGTTTTGAAACTGTGAAACAGAAATGAATCTCATCTAGAAGATCATTAAAATATTGATGATGCTCATATATAAGGTCGGAGGGGGGGGGGGGGGGAGGTTACGAATAATGTTATTTATAGCAAAAAGGGGGTAAGCTGCATGATTGCATAGAGCTGGCCAAGTTTTTTCATCCATTAGGACAAGAAATATATATTTGTTGCATTAGGGTGTCCAGATGTTGGAAAGCTTGTGCATCGTTAAACTTGAATTAGTTTCCTCGATATCTAACGTGGGTACTTACCCCCTGCAAAGGAATTATTACGATAATATTGTTGTAGGGGAAAAAATATGACCTTTCTTTTTATCAATAATATTAAAAAAATGGGGGAACCTCTGCAGGTGAAAAATGGCTATATTCTGAATGGTTTATTTTTAGTCAAAAATGGTTATTTTTTGTTAAAAATGGTTATTTTTTGTTAAAAATGGTTTTATTTACTGTCTAAAATGGTTGCAGCACAAGTCTCCAAGGTTTATATAATAATCTATTGCAAGTACTATATCAGAAAGACAAGTTTATTTTAACAAATCACATAGTACACCAGATTTCTTCTTTTAGATAAACGTATTATCTTATATATTTAATGTTTTATATTACTTCTTGTCAATGATTAATGAAAAAACGGACATTATTGATAATAACAAAAGTTAATGATGTGTACTTCGGAGCACTTTGTTCATTTAATTTCCATCATTTATTGTCCTCTCTTGTAATCTCAGTTCTAGTTAGAGATGGGAGTATAGGTATGCAGAAGTTTTAATACAGTGATACCCAATAAAGACATGGGGTGGAATGAATTTTCCTACGGATCATTAATTCAGACCAGTTCCCCTTGGCAGACGGTAGTCACTCTGTTGTCTGAGCTGGAACTTCAGAATGGGATACAGTAATCTCGACTGCTTAATCCGAATATCCATTTTCATTTTTTGTTTAATCCACTCTTTTTTGGATATATAGCACAGAAAAATCAAAAACCGGTTTTTCAAAATTAAAGAGACCCCTTCCGTTTCTGTATATTAATCCTAAATGGTGCGCAAAATTTCAAATTTCCTGGCGTCTGAAACGCGACTCTGTTTGGTTGAATTTATACACTTTCAGGATCAAGTACAAGATTAGGTTAGTCTCAAGATAAATAAAAAGAGAGGATCAAGCATTGATCTCGATATCCACCATTCTAAAGTTCCCAGCTCTGGAGTAGTCACTACTATATAGTCTGAAAAGTCTTGTGTGATATCTGTGCTTTGTAGTCCGTATAAGTCCCTTGTAGGTCTGAAAAGTGGGGGTGTGATTCTCTCTCTGTAGTCCGTGGTAGTCCATTCTAGATCTTTAAAGTCCTGCTTTTTTCTGTAGTCCCAATTATACATTTTCAAATTCCTTTATTTTTTTCGATAGTCCATAGGTCTGTAAAGTTTGTTGTACTTCGTAGAACACAGTAGACGACTGCAACCCTGAATACACTATTTTTTATAAAGTTGAAAACTATTGCCAGTACTATCTGTGTTATCTATGCACTACCCCCTTCACCTGACCTGATAGATAGAAAACTATGACCAGTACTATCTGTGTTATCTATGCACTTTCCCCTTCACCTGACTTGATAGATAAAAAAACTATGCCCCCCCTTCACCTGACCTGATAGATAGAAAACTATGACCAGTACTATCTGTGTTATCTATGCACTTTCCCCTTCACCTGACTTGATAGATAAAAAAACTATGCCCAGTACTATCTGTGTTATCTATGCGCTATCCTCTCACACCTGCCCTACTGATAGATAGAAAACTATGCCCAGCACTATCTGTTTAATCCATGCACTATTCTCCCTTCACCTGACCTAATAGATAGAAAACTATGTCCAGCACTATCTGTGTTATCCATGCACTACCCCCTTCACCTGACCTAATAGATAGAAAACTATGCCCAGCACTATCTGTTTAATCCATGCACTATTCTCCTACGCCTGACCGGATTAGATAAAAAACCCGTCTCTGTGTATTCAAACCAAAAAATATTTTGGAGTTTGTACGTCTGTCTTGTAGAGAAAGTACAATGTAACACATTTTGGAGATTTTTATTTTGGGATGCAGGCAAACTTGTCCTGCTCCTGCAAATTATAGCTTAAAATTGTGCAATGTGAATTAAGAATGTACTTAGGGATTACATTTTCCCGAGAATCTGAGGGAGGGGGGGGGGGCGGGAAGCTAACTCATTCAGTGATCCAAATATTGCAAGCTCACAATTGCACGCAAATATCTAAAAGAATTTTACCAAATACTTTTTAAAGCCTAAAGCTAAAAACAAGTATTTTATTTTGTCTAAAATGAACATGTTTAGGGCTACAAAAGATAAAATCAGAGGCTAAGGCGCGGCGTTGTGACACTTCAAAGTAGACATAGTCTTAACAATTGATGCAGCTTTCTATTGGAGTCTTGAATCTGGGCATTTAAATTAAAATTTAAAACCCAAAGATTTTGCAATAATTTCATGATATCCTCTCTGTAAGGAGGTGCATGTCGGATTCGCAACGTACACTCTCAGAAAAAAATATAAAATGTTGCAATGTTTACATTAAATTAAAACTATCAGATTTATGCAGCAGGTGCCAGGAAGGAATTTTACGGAATTTTCTTCTTTATTGATAATTAAATAAAAGTTTAAAAGGCATTAACCATAAAATTTAGAATCACTTTAAATTCTGTCAGCATTTCTGACTTTAAAGTTTCACATTTCTGAAACTGAAAATTACAAAAAAGTATATTTTTAGTTTATTCAAAAATATACGATTAAATGGAAAATTAAAGCAATGATCTTACGCTGTCTGTTAAATGGTTTCTATGAATATTTTATATACAATGACTAGTGAGTATATACAGGGTTACCCACAAAGGATGAGACTGAAAATACCAGATGAAACTCTTTAAAAAAGACAATTCCAAGATTAAATTTGGTCTTCTGCTTTGAAGACATTCTCTTAATGATTTCGCACAGAAAAAAAAACAAGTTAAAAGTAGCAGTGAAAAGTACATGTAAGGAACCTGCAGGCCATATAATTCCGTACAGTCGTCTCTGAAGTTTCATTTTGTTTGGGTAACCCTGTATATGATCAGCAGCTTTCAGGGGCCCCCACCCCCATAATTGCGCCCTTGGGTAACATCTCGAGATGGTCGCTGATCATTTTACTGTAATACGTGTCTGGGCTGGTTTCTATTCAGTCCGACAAGCGGATTCATGAGTTGAGGATATATAGAGGGAGGAATATTATTCTAAAATCGTTATACAAGCTTTCTCATGTCTGCAGTTTGCCCTTTCCTGGGCTGTAGTAAACACACATTCAGGGGGGGGTTGATACCTAAAAGCGTAAATCGTTCACATTATCTGTTGAAAATGCAAAGCTCAATTAAAAAAAAAAATAACAAATCTCGCAACGAAACATGAAAATCCGCGAAAAAGGTTCCGTAGCGTTCACTGTTATATGTAGTGTACACTATACACTCTACAATTCAGTTAAAAATGTAACTTTCGAATTTTATTCTTTCAGTTTATCTCTTGTAAAAAAAGGAAGAAAAAATGCCCAAGGTTCAATCTGAAAACTGGGTGAATATCAGTGAAACAAATTTAGATAAAAAGGAGGATGCGTCTGGAAATGGCAATTCAAAAAGCAATGCTACCCCAGCAGATGAAGATATTGATGCTCATAAATCTTCTGTCTGTGAGAGCCCTGAAGAGAAGAAATCTCCTCATATTAAAGATTTTAACGATATGCTTCAAGCTGTTGGTTCATGGGGGAGGTAAAAATTTTTAATCAATCTTCTATATAATAAAACAAGACATTCCTATTTATGTTCCCTTCGGCCGGCCAAACGGCTGGAACGAATGGGCTAAGACTTTTTATGGACGTACTTCAGGGTAGCCTGGGGGTGACATAGGCTAAAGAAAATCGATTTTTTTTGTTTAAAAATAATATATTTAATTTTTCAATTATTTTTTCACGGGCAACGTCGGGCCCTTCAGGTAGGATGTTTAGTAAAACAAAACATTCGTATATATTTTCCCTATAGCCTTCCAAACGGCTGGACCGAATAGGCTGATTTTTTTTAGGGAAACCAGGGGTGGGGTGACAAAGGCTAAAAAATCAAAATAAAATTTTTTTTTTTTTCACGGGAATGCCGGGCATTTCAGCTTTTGAATAATAATCTAGAAAATTTTCAAAAATTCTAAATATATGATCGAGACTAGAAGTTCTTTATTTCTTTTAATTCCAAAAAATCGCTTAGGATTTGGTAATTTGCAAATACACTATTTCCAAAAAGGAATTATTAAAAAAAAAATTTTGAATTATTATGGATTGCTCTTTGGAAATTACTATAAATTAACATGAATATTTATAAATTACAATGAATTATTATTAATGATTATGAAATACTAAGAGTTATCGTTAAGAATCATTAATTAATTTGAATTATTATGAATTATAATGAATTATTATAAATAATTTTGAGCTATTATCAATTAATAAGAATTATTATGAAATATGATACGAATTGTTATCATTATAATTTTGATTTTAGGTCTTCCAATTCGAAACCTTTTAAATGAAAATTAAAAACTTTTTATTTATAACTTTTGTTCTTTGAAGTAATATTTAATGTTTGCCAATTGATTAAGACCATAAAACGTTGACGAAAAAAATGCATTGCTTGCAAAAACTGATAAGACATAATAAAAGTGATGTTACGATTTTAACCTATATGTACAGTCCTCGTTCGTCGCATATATCAATACAAAGAAAACGACTTTGATTTCAATTTTGATTTCATACCAAGCTTTCAAAGAGCTCGGATACACATAAACATGGAAACAAAGATGTTCTGTCAATTTAAAAAGCTTCTCTTTAATAACTTGTAAACTTGTAATTCCAAAAAAGCTTGTTAACAATCAAAACTTAAATAAAAAGTCGTCTTCATTGTATGGATATAATCACCGACCACGGTACTAAAATGTTTTTAAACTAAAAATAGTTGATGAAAATAGTAAGGGTTGACAACGCAGGGTGTCCCACAAAAGATGAGAGACGATTTAAAGGTCGTATTTGATCTCTTAGGCTAACACAGGGCTCAGGGGAACAAACATCGTTTTACAATCTCTAGAAGCTTTTAAGGATTGACATCGCTTTATGGAAAGAACATAACTTTTTTATAGATAGTTTGCCATTTTATAGCTATCAAAGATCAAGGATGCTCTCACACAATGATCCTGAGGTTGCAAGCTCCATTAGCATTTTGCCAATTACTCTTTTCAAATAAAAATTTATTGTTATAAAATGTAAATGTCTAAGGTTACAAAAAGGTATGAATATGTTAATAAGGTAAAAGCAAAGGCGACACTAAAGTCGCCCCCGTCTTGAAAATACGTATACAACTTTTCATAGCTCTTTGGATCTATGTGCTCAATTGTCATTTTTAGTGGGGTATCCTGTACAATCAAGTTTGCTATTGTTAACGATCTTGAGTTGTGCAGTATATCTTTCTAATCTATAATTGAAAACCTTGTAATATACAGGGATAACCATTATTAAGTGGAATTGTTGTCCTTGTTGAACTTTCTTTCAATCAGAAAGATTTAATAAATGGAACCATGTTATTACCTATATATGTGTCTGCAATACTGTTCATTGGGTTGGGAACATTTTTCGATTTAAAAAACTATTCGCTTAACGGTCGTTAACAAGTTCTTTCAGCTCGAGCCTCAATGTTTGATCCCAAAACTAGCCGCTTAAAAGTTCTAACTTTAAATTAATTAGCTATTTCAGGTTAAGGTTCCAGATTATCTATTTAATATTTAAACTTATGGATTAACTATTTCAGGTTCCAGATTATATATTTAACTATTTCAGGTTCCAGATTATCTATTAATCTGTTTCAGGTTCCAGATTATCTATTTATGTATTTCAGGTTCCAGATTGGTTTAACTATTTTCTTCTTTCCCTTTAATCTGTTCCTTGGTTATGTTTACCTCTCCTCTATTCTCATCAATTTTGCTCCTCCACATTGGTGTAAGGTAATCTTTCATGCTCTATTTCATTTATTATTACAGTTCTTTATTCATTACTAGCTGAAGGGCCCTGCGTTGCCCGTGGCCAAAAAAAATTGAAAAAAATAAATGTTGAAAAAAATTCGATTTTGTTTACCTATAACAACCCCACCCACCCATGAGTTTCCACAAAAAAATTCAGCCCAATCGGCCCAGCCGTTTGGTCGGCTATACGCAACATATATATATATATACGAATGTCTTGTTTTTCTATATAGATTATATTCCATTCTTCCAACGATTCTTTCATTCATCCTTTCACCTAAATATGCATTACACGTTTTAATTTTTATTATAAGTAAGTAACGATTTCAATATATTTTTATATATTTTGAATACTTTTTAATAGACTGATACGTTTTATGTAAAAATGTAGAAATACACAAGTTTAAAGATTGTTTGATCAAAGACGAATAATTGAATAAATTCAAATTTAATAAATTCAAAACATAGTTCAGGGTGAGGATTTTGTTATTTGCAATTGTTGCAACTGATATCTAAAATTGTTCAGGACACTTCTTACAAATCCTTAACAAAATTTCATGATTGAAAGAATGCAGAAGATGACGATAGTTTGACTGTTTGCTGGTTCTCACTGTAATTAAAGAACAATAAACAAACTTGAGGAGATTTTTTCAATCTAATTTTTTCGAGAATTTTAAAAATGATCATTTAGACATAGCAATTAATAAATTCTGTTTTTTGTTCGGATCAGTACAATTTTTAAGTAATTATTATTATTTTTTATTCTATATGATCCAAGTGTTATTTCTGAGAGTATGGATTTCGTGGAGCTAGATTTTTTGTGTGGAAAATATGAAAATGTCGTCTTTATCATCTAATTACCTCAAAATTGCATTCCAATGATACAACAAAATCCAGAATTTATGAATTGTAATATAAGATTGATCAGTTTAAAATTTGATTTATTGTTAACAGTTTAAATTGGAGGGCCCAACTCAGTGAATTTAAATAGGCAATAAGCGTTTTCAATATTAGAATAAACTTATAAGTGAATAAGTTAAAGAACCTAAGTATGGATACTAGAATAAACCTATATATTTTAGGTGAATGAGTTAATGAATCTAAGTATGGACACTAGAATAAACCTATATATTCTAGGTGAATGAGTTAATGAATCTAAGTATGGGTACTAGAATAAACCTGTATATTCTAGGTGAATGAGTTAATGAATCTAAGTATGGATACTAGAATAAACCTGTATATTCTAGGTGAATGAGTTAATGAATCTAAGTATGGATACTAGAATAAACCTGTCTATTCTAGGTGAATGAGTTAATGAATCTGAGTATGGGTACAAGAATAAACTTGTATATTCTAGGTGAATGAGTTAATGAATCTGAGTATGGATACTAGAATAAACCTGTCTATACCTAAGGACAAGGATGGGTACAGCAAGTGTACTGTATATCATACTAATTGGGAACAGGTAAATTGTACTGAGCTGTACTTTTATCGTTTCTTACTATATTATACTAAAAATTGATGTACTGTACTGTGATGTGATGTACGTACATAATTCTTTATGGTCATATAGTAAAGGCAATGAAGTACTTAAGGTACTAACTATATTTTACTTTGACAAGCCTTGTCTATTTTTATGTGAAACTTAAAAGATAAGTGTTAGTTAGTGTTGGTTACAATTTACTAATTAAAGGGACTGTTTTAGGTGTTGGAGGAGGGGTTAACAGAGCCGGATCCAACATGGACACAGGTTGGAAAATATGCGGATAACATTTTTTTTGATAATAATATATTTTGTTGTTGTGGCAAAGATCTGTTATGAAGGGTCTGTAACCGTAATTTCAAGAAATCTGCCGTTAATCCAGTGGGATGTCCGATTCCATTCACATTGGTACCCTTAAAAGCTTTGTCTGATTAAGTATAAATTAGATTTTTTTGGAAAACTGGTTATCTTCAATTGTGATTTTTCTATACAGAGTTTAAGTTGTTAAAATATTTAATTCACTTTATGTAGATATGAATATTAGATATATCTTTACAATAAAAAAGTGTTAAAACTAAACGCACTTAAGAGAAAAATTGAATAAACCAATTTGAGAATCTTAAATCTAAAAAAGCTTTGTAAAATGTATTTTGTGTAAACTAGATAATTTTATGAAAAAAAGGGGGGGAGGCAAATTCAACATATTGTGACACCAAATTTTGTACAGGTTGCGTTTGGTCCTAATAATTGAGATAGAAGGCTAAAATTTTGGAAGCAGCCTCTAATTGTGGTCATCTACATAGATCACGAAAAATATTTGAAATCGGAGGTCATTGATCTCCATTTTGACCTCCATGAACTCAAGAAATACCACTTTTTAAACTCTAATTCAATTATTATAAGTTAATCAGACATGTTTTCATTTCTTTTTGCTACCACATAAGTTATGCACTGATATAAACAAATATAGCCGACCTCCATTTTGACCTCCCTTCGATAATAACCTCCAAAAAGGGTCAAATATTAAATCAATGAAAATAGGTCTTATGAGGTATTAAATCGTAGGTTTTTTGGTGTTCCGATTCCATTTTGATAACACTTTTTGACTTCAGATTATCCTGGAGATCGTGATCTATGTAGATGACCACAATTAGAGGCTGTATGACAAATTTCAGCCTCTATCTCAATTATTAGGACCAAACGCAGCCCGATCAAAATTTGGTGTCACAAAGTGTCGATTGTCGCTCATCCTACTCATCCTATAGACAACGTGTACAGACATACATTTGTTTTAATTTAATATAGAGTCTCTTTACACACCTTTTAGAATTTGAGATTGGCTTGGTATGATTAAAGGATCTGCTAATGTATTTTCAAATGAACAAAATTGATGGAGTTATCTTTGTCTTTTTATCTCAAAATTGGCCATTTTGGATTCCGTTCTCTAAAAAAGTAACTTGAGGATTCATGGATTGGAATGAAATGAAACCTTGTTTAAAAGCAAAATAAATCTTCGCTAATTGTATTGACATGTCTACCAAAGGGAATATCAAGTTACCCGAATTTTAGAAATGCACGATGAAACCCCCCCCCCCCTTACATCTCTCCGAGTAGCAATTGAGGAAAAGAAGATGATGCGAGACCGATACAACAGTGGAATATAAAGACGATATTTAAGGAATTTTGTGTATTTGATGTTGATATGAAGCATACATTTTTTGCAAGCAACTTGAAAATTAAAATATTAAGTGAACTGTAGACTGTGAACTGTATAATGTTTACTGTACACTGTGGACTGTACACTGTGAACTGTACACTGTGGACTGTACACTGTGAACTGTACACTACACAATTTCTGTGTTTCATTGTACGTTTACAGTCTTACTTCATCGACCCAAGCATAAATGCGCACACCTCTTGGATAGAGAAATCACAATAGAAAATAATTAGTTTTATAATTATCAAATTCATTGATTAGAGAAAGATTTAAAGGTTACCATTGTGAAACAGACATTTGGAAAATCATTTAAAATTACGTTTTTGGTCCCTTTAAGGCTGTATGATCTGTAATATTATGATGATTCTGATGATCCCTTTGATACATTCAGATTGCTTGCTACGATGGTTGGGAGTATGATATAGAAAATTACCACAGGTATTTTTAAATAAAAACAATATTTTATTTTGTTAACATTAAAAATTTTGCAGGGTTTTATTTAGTGGCAAATAAAAAACATTTTGAAATTTGTTAGTGAGGAAATCCTGGCTTGTAACATTCAAATAAATATAAATTCTAAATTGTTGTATTGGAGTGAACTCTATATTGTTGTATTGGAGTGGGCTCTATATTGTTGCATTGGAGTGGGCTCTATATTGTTGTATTGGAGTGGACTCTATATTGTTGCATTGGAGTGGGCTCTATATTGTTGTATTAGAGTGGACTCTATATTATTGTATTGGAGTGAACTCTTTATTGTTGTATTGGAGTGGACTCTATATTGTTGTATTGGAGTGGGCTCTATATTGTTGTATTGGAGTGGGCTCTATATTGTTGTATTGGAGTGGACTCTATATTGTTGTATTGGAGTGAACTCTATATTGTTGTATTGGAGTGGACTCTATATTGTTGTATTGGAGTGGGCTCTATGTTGTTGTGTTGGAGTGGACTCTATATTGTTGTATTGGAGTGGACTCTTTATTATTGTATTGGAGTGGACTCTATATTGTTGTATTGGAGTGATCTCTATATTGTTGTATTGGAGTGGACTCTATATTAAAAGAAAAGTAATGACATAGAAATATTATTTTATGACTTATCATCATTTTTTTTGAAGAATGAGGAATCCTCTTTTTTAGCTGACAAAACAGATTCATGCACTTTGCGCAACGAATGAATAAATAATCATAACAATAAATTTTATTTTTTTGTTATAAATAATTTACAATATTTTTACATGAATTATTTCTAAAATTTTAAACATTTCTTTTTAGATCAATAACATAAATATTATTAAAATGGATTGTTTGTGACGACCATGATTATTGCTATTTATACTTTACAAAAAGAACAATTTAATGGAAAAGAGTATATTTATTAATTGTCTCTAATTAGGTTAATGCTTACTAATTAATTTGTTAAAACATTCTGTACGGCAGTCAATTAATTATAAGTTAATAATATGGATTCTATTTTTTAAAAATTATAATTATCCTATTTTCTGTGAAAGCTTTGTTATCAGAGTAGATTAAGCATTGCATAATCATGTTTACATTCCTTGATATCTATTTTTATTTTTATTTTCTAATCTATCAATTCTAACAAAAAACACTCTAATATTGGCCCATTAAAAAACAAGGGCGGGAACAGCCGGCATTTATGAAAGAACAATGTAAAAAAATCTTGAAAAATAATAACATTTTTTACGATTATTTTGAAAACGTATAGTTTTTTAAAAGCCAACTATTTCTAGAACTATTGTGACAGATTTTGACTGGGTTTGTGACGATGCCTGGATTCCAGCATTTTCTCAGGCAATGTTCTTTATAGGTAACAATATGTTAGGAGTGTGTTCTTTATAGGTAACAATATGTTAGGAGTTTGTTCTTTATAGGTAACAATATATTAAGAGTTTGATAGAAAAGATTTTTTTTATTATGAGTATTCTTTATAGGTAACAATATGCTAGGGGTTTGAAAGAAAACAGATTCATTTAATGTTTTAAAAATTGTACCTTAAAGCTCATCTCTGGTGGACAATAATCTTCCTTAGTTACAGTTATGTATTCTGTAAAAAAAACCTTTTTGATTCATTATAGGTAACCATTAATAACTCGAGCGATCAATATTTATTATCAATTTTATTCTTATTATCATTATCATTGTGATATATGATATTATATCAGAATATTACGATAATGAAAGTATCTAACTATATTATATTCTATACCTAGGTGCTATACCAGGAACCCTGGGGTTTGGTTATATGTCAGACCATTATGGCAGGAAAGGGTTAAAAACATAATTATTATTATTGAATAAGTAAATAACAATTTATGTTTGTTTTGGTTTTTTTGGTTATATGTCAGACCATTATGGCAGGAAAGGGTTAAAAACATAATTATTATTATTGAATAAGTAAATAACAATTTATGTTTGTTTTTGTTTTAAATTTGATATAAATGCTGAAAAAGAATCCTCATGCCCAAAAAAATCTAATTTTAACTATCCTTTATTTTAAGTTATTCAGCAACGATTCACAACGGTTCTTTTTAAGCCTGTTTCATAACCACATCATCCATCTTAATATGTTTTTTAACAATCTTTTGAATTCCCTGTGAATTTCTACAGCAATAAAAAGCGTATAGAAGATTTATTGATGAAAGTCTCTCCATGTCTTCATTTTTTTATTGTTGATTGTAATCAATTCAGCATTTTATCCGTTAAAAATGAAAAAAATGTTTCCCTGTGTTTAAAGGGTACCAGCAACACTAGTCTCCAACATGTTGGGTGAAAATCATTTCAAAATACAAAAAAAGTTTTCCCTTTCCTAATAAAAATTGACGAGTCTGTTTCAAATATATAATTTTCTGAAAAACTATGTTGGATCGGAGTAAATATTGAAGAAACGTGATTCAACCACGTCTACGCATTTCAATAACTCTTCATATCTTCAGGTTGCAAAAACCAATCTTGCTTTAACTACAGGGTTACCCACGAAAGATGAGAACGTAAAGACGACTTAAAACCCTTGTAATATGACGATCCCAAAGTTGAATTAAGTTTTCTGTCTTGAATAAAGTCTTTTCATGACATATTAAATGATTTTACAATAAAAAAGAAGCAAGTTAAGAATCCTGAGTTCAAGGAATGAACATGCATAGATTCCGTACAGTCGTCTCTGAAGTCTCATCCTTTGGTGGTAACCCTGTATAATGAAAGAAAAGACACAATAATTCCATGTTTTTTTTTGAAAAAATCAACACTCATGAATGTTGTCCCTTCTAACCAAATAATGATTTTTCATAAATAGCGATGGTTTCTGGATTAGTTACACCCTTCACTACAAACATGGCGTCATTCCTCACCCTTAGGAGTGCAATTGATCATTTTCATCCATTATATGTAAACTGTACACTGTACTGTCATGTACCATATATAAGATCGAGATTGGGACTCCTATGGATTTGTTTACAAATAAGTGTTTGTTTATCATTTTCTGGTAGATAACATAAACTAAGTTCGGCATGAGCTACACTGCGTTGTTTGTTGTCAATCCTCATAACAAAAGCTGCAGAACACTTAATTTGTAAACAAACATAAGGGGGTTCTTGGTGTAATCCTTTTCAAGCGTGGGTCATAAGAGAATTTATTTACTGTACAAAAAAGAATCCACATGACCTCGGTTTCGGACTCCGGTAGCTAAACACTGGTAAAGCAGTTTGTTTACAAATAATCTGATTATGCTATAAATGTCAAAACAATATCTACATTTTAGACATGAGAGGGTGGTAGGGGTAACAGGCCAAGCAAAAAGGGAAGGTAAATGTGGGGGGGGGGATCTCTTTTGAACGCAGATATATTATCTTATATTACCCTGTATGTTTGTTAAGATGTACGTGAATTTCTTATCTTAAAATATAGGGTTCTATAGTCCAGCTTTGGTTTCGTTTGTTTACAAGCAACCAAAATACGATTGTATAGCCACCGATAATGAAAAAAATTTCTCTTATGACCTTACCCAACCTTGGTCCTTCGTAAATCGTATGTACTATTAAAACATACAAAATAAGCTTTCATTCAATTTTTAAAAAGCCCTTTGTTCATAAATCTACAATTTTTCGTTATAACTTTTTCATTTTGAGAAAAAGGATTTTTTTCTTTACTTTATTTTTATAATATCAAATTAATTAGATGGCAACTTGTGTAAGATTCCTTATGGGACTATCATTTGAAACCATGTTTTCTTCTCCTTATATACTTAGTAAGTGTTATATATATCACGATTAGGGTTTCCAAAGAATTTCGCGAGACTCGAAATTCGCAAAAATTATATGTGATTGTATAAACTGTTTCTTTATTTAAACTCTAAAATTTACGGGAAAATTGGTAGCTATCTTAATGCGAGTGAAATATTGTTTACTTGTCAAAAATTTTCTTTTATTCAAATATGCAAACGTTTTGAAATTCGCATTTATAAATTCCCACTATTTTGCGAAAATATTCGAAATATCCTTTAAACGATTTTTCGCTCAAACTGTGAATTTAATATTTATAGCGCTTGAATTTTCTTCCATTTATAATTGAAAGACTGACGAAAATAATTAACAACAGGACACCGTAAAACTTTTATTATTACGTATTATTTTTCTTGTGCTAAGCCGTTTTTTTTACTAATTTTTGATAAAAAACACAAGTTCCGTTAAAATACTTTTTAAGAATGTAAATACGTACGTGTGTGTGTCTGGGGTGGTGGTTGTACTCTGTTCATATAAAAAACCGTAGTTTTAGTTTGTTCTACGTTTGTCCATATTTAATTATGTATTGTAGAGAACATTTTGGGGAGTACTTTTTAGGACTCAAAATCATCATTCCTAGAGATGATTGTTTTCTTTAGGGCTTTAACAAAAACCATCAAGATCCTCGTTTTCTTAATTTTTCGAATAAAAACGGAAAAGTAATTATATTAATTTAGTTTGTTATCCCACAACATATTTGGATTCTCATTAAATTCGGGGTTTTCGCACATAACAGAATCAGATCTTTAAATATTGAATCAGTTGGAAAAACTTTACAGGGCAAATATAAAAATTTGCATTTGAAAAAGTTTTGAGCTGTGGTGAACTGGGCCGAAGTTTTTACCAACGAAAGATTGGTTAATTAGCTTGCATTAATAAATTTATTTAAATCTATTAAAATCAGTTCCTTCGTTAAATTCAAAAGTCCCCTGCTGGGCTGGTTTTTTTCATTCAAAAGTTTTTATGAGATGATGTAAATGATGATTAATTTATTGATAAATGGATAGATTTATAACTGGAATGTCTTTACAGGCATTTTTCCAGCAGCCATATATTCTTGGTGAGTCTGTGCTTTAATCGTGATGTCATCTGTGTCTGTACGCATTAGCTTTGTTACATGTCAAAACATGTATTTAGTGCATACGTCAAGAAACGTGTTTTGTGCGCATGTCAAGACAATAAGTGCGCATGAAAAGACCGTGTGTTTAGTACGCATGTCAAGACATGTTAATTGACATGTGTTGAGTGCGCATGTCAAGTGACATGTGTTAAGTGCGCATGTCATGTTGATATGTGTTGGGTGCGCATGTCAATTGACATGAATGTATTGCGCATGTCTATTGACATGTGTTTGGTGCGCATGTCAAGCCATGTGAGCTAGTCGTGACGTGTGAGCATGCTTGGAAAAAACTTTCTGTTTTCATCTTTATCCTTGATTTCTAATCTGTCCTTTTGACGTTATTAAAGCTATAAACCTATACAAAGTGACCTTAACGTTAATCCCATTCGTTATTTACAATTTACATTTGAACTTTCATATAGGAAACATAAACATATAGGAAACAGTTTTCTTAATTCAGATATTTTTGTCCTGGATTTTACGGCACTGATGAGCAATGAATGTTAAAGTGTACTATTGTGAATTGTTCATGGCAATTTCGAAATGAAAGGTCACTTGAAATTACGAGACAGTCCTGCAGTTTTCTACTAACAACATCTCCTTTTCTATCTGAATATATTTGCCCTGTCTGCTAGGTTTCTGTTTGACTCGTTTATTTTCCGACCTCACTTTTCCCCAGGAGTGTTATACTGCCGGTCAAAATACGGAAATATCCATAGCTGAATTTTTGACACAAACTCAGATTTTCCAACCCCTATATCTTTGCAGCCTGAGGTCGTAGACCTTAGATATTTCAAACTATCAATTCTTTTAGATCAAGTATTTTAAGTTTGAAATAGAAAAGATGTACACCATCAGGTTGCATTGATATTGAAATTAGAAATTTGGAGTTTGTGGCAAAAGCTCAGTTTCTTTGAATATTGTTGCATATTTAAATCAAGAAAAAAGTTTTTAAGTGTTTGATAATGTAATTTGATAAAGTAATCTGCTTACAGATAAAGCAACTGCAAAAGTTAAACCATATTAGAAAAAGAGCTCAAAGATCCCCCCCATGTTATATTAATATTTCCATTAAAAAAGGTTAGAACTGCTAATCGGATCGGTAGCATATTTGAGTGGGACCCGCGATTTAAAAAATTCAGGAAAATACGGCTCGGGTCTAAGCTGTCGTTGGACCTTATTTACGGCTTGAGCTTTCGGATTAAAGCTGCATCTTATTTTCCACAGAGTTGAGGTCAAAAAACCGGTTTAACATTCTTTTGGGCGGATTTGCATGGTAGGAATTGGCGCATTCCCAGTTTTTAGGAGAACAAGACGCAACTTAACATTGATCCTTATTCTCCACTAAAACCAATCAAGGTGGGTTTTATTTTTATTAGGCCTAACTCCTTAAGTCGAGCCGAAGATCTTGCAGCTGTCAATCACGTGACACAAGCTGTCGTCAGAGTTGGGTCGAAGATTGGGTCTTAAAGCTGGGTTTAAGGAATTAGGATTCGAGCCGAAGCTTTTAAATCGCGGGCTCAGGATAAATAAAAGTTGAATGAAATGAAAATGATCATTTATAAAGATTTATGTCTGGGCTATCTTTCCAAACCTTCTTTACACAACCCTATATTCTTAGTAAGTTTAAAGTAATTGTTTAGATATTTGGTTTATTGGGGCAGCTACCAATTATTAAAAGCGAGTGTTCGCGAAAATTTAAAAGGGGTATAGATAGACTGATATCAAATCGAATTCGATATTGACCACTTTTAAGATAACTTATGAAATATCAACTATATAAGAATGCATCGAATTGAATTGAAATTTATTGGTTGCATTATATAAATGATTAGTTTTAAATTTAATTGAATTATGTACATCTGATTGAAATTATGTAATCCTGTGAATCTATACGAACGCTATATGCTCTTGGCTCGATCAATATCGAATATCGAATATCAATTCGAGATCAGCCTCTACAGTATACAGAACACCCTTTCATTCTTTACGAACATTCTCTTAATAAGATGATTCCATTTAATTAACTTATGTACATAGCGTCCCTTAACATTTTATATTATGTCCATCAGCTTAAACTCAAAATACGCAAGGAATACTCACAGAGCCTTGTATTTTCTACATGGAAACATTTGATGTTGGTCTAATAAACTTCAAGAATAATTTAGTCTTTTAATTTTTGGTTTACACCGAGTAATCCTTTTTTTAGATACGATCCAATGCGATGTGGGCCACCCTGTATAATATCTTAAAGGTTTCAAGCGTTTTTTGTCTTGTAATTGTAGACATTTT